TCTATGAGGGAGACCCTAGCTAAGACTCCTAAAAATAGGGGATATTGAACCTGAACAAGTTATCTCCTGTAACCAGGCAATACTTCTAGGGGAAGTACTGGGACACCAACCTGGCCACAAACCCTTACAAATTGTACTGCCTACAAGATGGGCTGGGGGAAAGATGGCTCAGAAATTGTGGGAGTGACCAACTAATGACTGGCACTGGTGGAGACCCATACCCTGAGGGGGAGCTCACCCCTGAGTGCCAGGACCCAGAGGTGGGATACCCCAGAGACCTAGGATAGAGTCAAAAAGGAATGGGAACAAAAGTCAATGAAAATGATTCCTAATGATATTCTGCTATACTCATAGATTGATGCCTCAGAGAGGCTTCTCTCAGCAACTGATGGAAATAGTTTAAGTTTTGATATCTATCTTCAGTTTTGTTTATGTTTCAGACTCTATTAAAATGAACAATCAATACCTTGTGAGATCGTCCAAAGCATACTTAGAATACCAAGATAACATCGGTTTGAGGGATAGTTGATGTTTAAACACAGTTCAGCTGGAGCAGAGGCTGTTCTGGGAACTCAGCATCCCCCTAGAACTCTGGAGGCAAACTCCTATCCTCTCTTCTAGGACTTGGATGAGCTGGCTTCTCTGCTCCCTTCACATTTTTCAATATCTGCTAATCCATTGGCTTCCCAAGCAAAGCACTACAATTGGATCACCTCATAAATGTTTTTGAAATAACCTCTAGACCCTGCCAGCTTGCACTTTGGGAACTAAAATTCACTCTGAGTCTTCTAATCACAAATCCAAGGTCTGTTTTCATTAAAGCTGCTCCTACATATTAGCAACAAACAGGTAACCTTCTAAATGCTGTACTTAAGCCTATCTATCATCTTTGATCTCACAGAAGCCTTGTAAAACACTTGCTTTGTTCCCTGTTTTGCAGACTAAGGCTAGAAAATGAACTGCCATCCCCAGGACACAGGATTTACCTGAGTGAAGGTAGAGCAGGACTGTCTAACGCTCCTCCATTCACCACCCAATGGCTCACTTCTTGAAAGTCTCTCCTTTCCCCTCATTCTGTCCCGCCCTCTTGCTTTCCAAGGTCTCATTTTTTGTCCGTCTCTATTTCTCAATCCAGTTGGAAATTCTAGGATTTCCCCAGTTGTCTATTTTCCTACTAACTCTTGGTACCTTTCCTGGTAAGCCCATCAACTTTCAATGTTTAAAATTATGCAACATGCTACAACTGTCATCCCTGCATCCATCCACTAATCTAGCTACTTACTATCTAACCTAGGCCCTCTCTTCACAAAACTTTGTGACATGACTTACTGCATACACATCTCTAATGAACTTTCCACACCACTTCAGGTTCTGTGTGCCCCAACCTGAACCTGACACCTTGACTTCTCAAATCTCAGTCTCTTAAATTTCTGTATTCCACCTGCACACCCATCTCCTGCTCTTATAGATTCTACCACTTAAGTTACCTTGGTACTCCCTCTTCTTCACTCAAGTAACACTTGTATATTAAGTCCTCTTATCAAGGTCATCCCAATACATAAAAGCTGTTCCTGTCTCAGATTTCTGAGAGCCATCCTTCTAGACTGCTGTAAAAGCTGACCTCTCAGCAGCACATCACACCTCTTTTAAAAGCAACTCTGCATAGAGGGAGATAACCCTCAGGATGGTAAACAAACATCCAGGATCTTATTTCTGCTAACCTTGATTTTATGTCACCTTCCAGGAATCCTTGAAAGTCTTCTTGAATTGATAACTAGCCATTCACAAATCCCTACTCAGGCACTGGGATCACACTTCTACCTCAGCACTCAAACAGAAGTGCTCTTCTATTTCATTAATATTAGTTTCTTGTTTTGTCTCAGATGTGAAAAACATGTTATAGTGTATTGAGCTGTTGTTTAAATGCCAAGACACTGTGCTTTCCCATAATTTAAAAAAAAAAAAAAAAGTTCCTACAGCTCTAGATCACACAGCACCAAGTTTCCCTCTTAGACCCAGAAACTACCTTAGAATTGTTTGCATAATCTCAGTGCACAGAGACTGGCAACTGATATGCTGTTAATAAATACCTGTTAGAGGAAAGAATATATGTTCATGAAATGCTTCAGATTAAGAATATATGACTAACACAATTTTAAAGACTAATAGACTTTCCTCAAACTGATTTGATTATGTAGCTCCTCCTCAGACAGGTATGCAAAGTAACATTTAAATAATTGAACAAGCATCCAGTATGGTTAGCAGGATTATCAAATTACACTTTTACTTAGCTTCCAGGATAGGGGACTATTAACACTACACCAGGTTCATGAGTTTCACTGACAGAAAGAGGTACATAAACAACCTAAGCCCACATAAGAAAAGTAAACATTTTTAAAGGGTCTGATTCAATTAAAAAAAAAAAAAAGCCAAATTGTCTAAAGTGAAGACACTCTTTTAAGGATCTCTCATACAAAATTTTCTGTATATAAACACATTAAAACCTTGCATATACAGTCACTCTTCTAAGAATCACAACCTTTCAGCCCATAGTACAGCAAAGAGCACATGAACAAAAATTGTCACAGAATCTACAGGCTTTGTACATGGCAATGGATACATCACTTCACTAGGGCAGAAAAAAAGAAAAAGAAAACAGATGGATACAGCATCAGGACCCGCTCCCAGCCTGACAGCAGAAAGTGATAGCTGATAACAGAAAGGAGACCCAGACAAAAGCACATGAAGAATGGTACCTCTGTCTCCATTCTAGTACTTCAACCAGGCAGGCAGAGACCATAAACTATAAACAAAAATAGTTCCCTACACCTCAACAAATGGCATTTTTGAATCCTTTATAGATTCATACTTATAACCCAGGCACCACACACAAAAAAAGCATATCCAAAAATTCTGAAGAAGGTTTATAAACTGCTTATTTTAATGGCTAGCTTTTTTGGTGATTAATATAGGATGAACTACCCAAAAAGTAAGCACCAACTCACATGTTGTCGGTATAATATATATTGCATAAGCAGGCAAAAATGGTTTGTGTGTGTCAGCAATTTTCAGGTGTACTAAGAATTAATTAATAAAGAAATCTGGATTGTTTGAGATGCAGGTCCATAAATTATTTTAAAACAGAGTCTGAAAATTGAGGGTAAGTTTTACAGCAATATTTAAATGCTAACTAAACTCAAGACTGCTCACGCGGGTACCTTGAAATATCCCAGTTTAAATGACTAGAAATGTTAACTATCAAACAACTCATCAAAAAAAAACTTACAAAATCTTGTCATGAAATGTATTTATTGAATTTGTTTATTATAACAAGTATTCTAGGTATCAGTACAAACACAAAACTGTAAACTTAGACTCAAAGAGCTCAGATCTCTGTGGCAGAAAAAAGCAGAAGACTGGCCAATAGAATGCCCAGTTGTTCAGATATGCCCAACAAAGCTGGGCTGTTGTTCTAAACGTTGACACTGCTTCCTCACAGTTTAAAAATGTTCCTGTAACTCTAGATCACACCACACTAGATGTGCACTTAACCTTGCTGGTGGCATGTAAATCCGTAGTTCTCTCTAACACTATCTGGAAGACTTAAGAGTTGTTGACATGGTCAGATCAAGCACCTCAAGCTGCCAAGAAATAGTTTCTTCAGGAAAAGTTAAACTGCAAACTCACATTTAATTTGATTAACATAAAGTTCTGCTCTTCCTTACCATACACTTCAGGGTATGATTTTTTTCAGTTAATTAATAATTTAAAAAAAAAGCCTAGGGACAATGTGTGACTGGTAATGCTATTAGAATAATTAAGGAAGACTTTCTAACCTTTTTTAAACAGTGCTTTTTTGGGGGGCGGGGGGGGGTGTCTGGGCACATGGGTTAGGGAAGTCTACATCCAAGAAGGAATGAAGGAATTTGTTTGGGGGAACGTGGGATTACAGATAGAACTAGTGGCATATTTGGCATCCAGGCAAACTGCCACACATTCTTGTCATTAGTTTTGAAAACGCAAACAAACAACAGTTGTACAAGGTGACAGCCTAAGATGACCAAAAACCTTAGTGCTTTTCTTTGAACCTTTTCTGAAGGCAATCACGTGAAACAGAAGCCTGTGACTAGTCCTGACACTGGACCACAATAGTGGTTTCCAGATAAGGTGAGGATTAAGAAAGTCACCCTTTTCTTCCCTTGTGACCGCAACCCAGAGTTTCCACCTTCATTAATTTTCGGAACTGGGAGCACTTTTCTGCCTCTGTCCCTTCACGTCCTTCAGCACCCGACAAGATGCTGAGGGCTGGTCCCAACACAGGCACCGCAGCCATCCTGCCCCTAAGTGTGGCAGAGTGACAAATTCTAAGTCTCCAACTTCCTAACCCTGCACACTCAATGCCTTGGAGCACACGGATCAGGTCCTGACTGGAGACACCTCTGAGCGTCCTTTTGCCCGGACGCACTGCATCCGTGCGAGCCCGGCGATGCCTCTCCTCCTGCAACCCCGCAGCATCCATCCCGAGCCCAGCCGCTCCTCCACAGCCGCCAAACCCTCCGTGCCCTCCCTCCCACCCTCCCTCCCGCAGCTTTCTCACCTCCTGAACCGGCCCCGCACTCCCGTCCGCCTCCCCCCGCGGGGCCACGCGCGACCGCACAGTCTCCGTCCACCGCTGCGGTCACCGAAAGGTCCCGCGCCTGTGCGCGCAGCCGGGGGCCGCCCCCTTCCCCAAGGCACCCCCGTCGGGCACCTTCCGCGGGGACCCGGAGATCCTGCCCCGGGTCCCGGCGCAAGGTCCTGCGGCTGGAGAGGCGTCCCCTTCACCCGCTCCGGCCGCCGCTGCCGCCGCGGGGACACCACTTCAGTGGGGACAAACCTGAGCGCTCTCTCTCTCTCTCTCTCCACAGAGCCACGCGTCCGGCCGCCTCAGCCTGGGGCCGTCCCTCCCTCCCTCCCTCCCTCCCTCCCTCACTCACTCACTCACTCACTCACTCACTCACCTCGGGCAGCGCACCCGTCCGGGGGATCCCGAGCCCTCCGTGCCCCGTGGGTCCCTGCAGACGCCCGCCGCCGCTTACCGCGTCCTTCGGCCGCCCGCCGCGCCGCGCCGGACTTGGGAGTGCAGTGCGAGCGAGCGCCTGCCCCTGCCTGCCGAGGCTAGCCCTGAGGGAGGCTGCAGCGCGCGCCAGCCGGGCTTAAGACGGGCGCTCCGGGGCGTGCGAGCGATGCTCCACCGTGCCCTCGGGCCGCAGCGCGCCTGCTCCTCCT